GAGGCCTGCCTTGCCTCCAGAGAAACTGAGGCCTGCCTTGCCTCCAGAGAAACTGAGGCCTGCCTTGCCTCCAGGGAAACTGAGGCCTGCCGTGCCTCCAGGGAAACTGAGGCCTGCCGTGCCTCCAGGGAAACTGAGGCCTGCCGTGCCTCCAGGGAAACTGAGGCCTGCCGTGCTTCCAGGGAAACTGAGGCCTGCCGTGCTTCCAGGGAAAATGAACACAACTGTCTCGTAGTAGAACTGCAAGAAGAAAACAGGAGGCTACTGGAAGAGTTAAAATGTGTGAAACTTGAAATGGAGGCACTTAAATCAAAGAAAGAAAAATCTAAAAGTACACAACTAGGCTTGGATGATACTGATAACGTAGGGATTGAGTCTTCAAGGCAAATCTTAGATGGAGGCCTACAATCTGAGATCGGACTCTCTGAACAGGTGAAATGTGCACAGATCAAGGTGGAAAAGCTTCAGCCAGTGGAAGATGCTGGGAAACGCACCAAATTCTCATCCGATTTGGAAAAGCCTGAAAAAGAGGGGAGGGGTTCTGTACAGCAGTCGTTGCATGAAGGGCTACAGTTATGGAATGTCCAAGTTTCTGAGGAGCTGAAACCTGCACACTTGGAGAATGAGGACCATCCGTCAAGAGAAGCAGTGTCGGAGAACACGCCTACCAAATCTGTTCGAGATCATGTAAATACAGCGGAGAGAGATTTGTCTGCACAATCCCTACACGAGGAGTTGCAGCTGGAGAACCTCAGGCTTGCCGAGCAGCTACATTATGCGCAGAAGGACATTGAGAAACTTCAAGCAAGGGAGGTGAAGTTAGAAAACAGAAATGCTCTATCTGATTCGGATAACTCGTATACATTAGAGAGAGACTTGGCTATGAGTTCCCTGATAGAAGAACTGCAGTTGGAAAACCAAAGGTTGGTTGAGCAGTTGAAGCGTGCTCGGGTGGAGATCGAGAAGCTTCAGGAACAAAAAGCCTTACAAGATATCGACAGCAGCTTCAGGCTGGAAAATCTAGACACCGAGGACAGAGATTCCGAACATTCTTTCCTGGATAAAACCGTCACAAACGCCATAAGTTTAACTGAAATCCACAGCGTGAACCCGGGCTTTGAAGTCCAAGTCAACGGTGACAATTTTACTTGCCAAAATATTTCCGGCCTTTGCTGCCATCATAACCGTTTCTGCATAGAATGTGCCAACAACCAAGAAACTCTCGTAGTTCAGTCTTCCAGCTTCAAGAAGGTCTCCACCATAAAGAAAGAGTGCAAGCTTCTTACCGTGTCTCATTCTCATAGGCCGTTTGAAGACACCTCCCTGTCCAAGTACGATCTGCTGGTACAGTCACAAGCTCGGGAGCTGTCTCATCAAAGACAGAAGATTAAAGAGAGTCACAACCTGAGCGTTGTGTGTTCAAAGAACTTTATTAATGTCATGAAAGCCTACGAGGACCTCCTCTCTTCCTCTAGTTTGGATTCCAACATCGCTTTGGGCTTCCAGGAGCAACTCGCTCAAACCGTGGAGTGGCTGAAAGAGTTGGAATATAAACTTAGCGACGCTTACTACGGCGAAGACGATGCCAACAGTGACCACTCAGCCGACAGCTTGTTGTATACCCCGTCACGCCTGGTTCCTGGACACAAAATGTGGGCAGATAAACACGGTTGCCACGTGCTCGGCTTGGTGGAAGACTACAATGCCCTGCGTAAGCAGATCCTGGAAGCAAAAACTGTACTGGAAGAGACGGAGGCTTTCGTAGACCATGGCGTGCAGACAGCCGTGCTAAACATGACCGAACATTTCGGCAATGTCTTTTTTGAAAAACTCAACAGAACCAAACAGTCTCTGGAGGAGGCCAACTGCTTGCTGAAGCTCCTGTGGAGGGTATCCCTACCCTTGCAGACCCACAGCTCCTCCTACAGCATCCGCCAGGTTGAAGAGACGAACCTGGAGATGACCCGGCTTCGGAAGAGGGTCATGGAGCAAGAGAAGTTGTTGTCCGGGATGGTGAAAAGGGTCTACTCTGAAAACCAAATGAAGGAGGACATTGAAAAGCTTATTCTAAATCAGCTCGCAATGACTCACAAAATTTTAAAGAGAGCGAAAGGGAATCTAGTGGTTCAGGTAGTTGACAAGCATTGAAAAGTAACCGCTGGTTTCATTTTTCTATAGAGTGAAGGATTAGAGCCTCTGTTGGGTTTTTATTGCCCTTGTTCACTTGTTCAAAAGGTTTCCCTCATTTCCTGTTCTGGTCAAGATTGTTTTTATCCACATGTTGTAGACCTAAAACATTTTTATCCTTCAGACCTGCTTGATTCCCTCCCCATCCGTGCCAAACAACACCCCCCATTCCCACAAGTTCCCCCTTCCCCCGCAGTCACCATTCAGCTGAGAATTTTCAGACCTGCTTCTTTTTAATATGTCAATTTAAAAAATTGGCGGGTGCCGATGTGGCTACAAATTGAGCAGTATACGGTAGGGATGCACCAATACTACTATCGCTGCCAATACTCGCCCAAATTCTCCAATACGGGAACTTCCGGTCAGACAGAGATTCCCTCTGACCGGCAGTGCCATGAGGGAGCATGGTGTCGACTCCCCAGCCAATCAGGGAGGCGGGTCATGACCCACCTCCTGGCTCCCTGATTGGCTAGGAAGCCGACTTTACGCTGCCTAGCGATACTGTGAGATAGCTTGGCTGAGGCTACGAGGCCGGCTTCACTTGTTCCTAGGCAGCTTGGCTTCCTGACCATTCAGGAAGCTGGGTGGCACGTCATGACCCACCTCCCTGATTGGCTAGGAAGCCTGCTTCACGCTGCCTAGCAACACTGCGAAACAGCTTGGCTGAGGCTAGGATGCCGGCTTCATTTATCTCTAGGCAGCCTGGCTTCCTGAGCAATCGGGAAGCTGGGTGGCACATCATGACCCGCCTCCCTGATTGGCTAGGAACCTGGCTTCATGCTTTTTAGCAACAGTGGGAGGCAACCTGGCTTCCTGATTGGTCAGGAAGCCAAGCTGCCTTGCAATGTCACTAGGGAGCGTGAAGCCGGTGTTCTTTTTGATAGAACACCATCTTCCCAGGAAACCTGATAAGCCGGGCCCGTGGTACCTCGGGATGCCGGTATCGCTTATCCGTACCGGAAAAAAAATTAGGTAATTTATACTGAAAAAATCGGTATCGGTGCATCCCTAGTATACGGCCAACTTTTGACTTCAAAAAGGGGCTGAAGACACCCCTGTGGAGCTTCTCTTTGTGTTGCTGGATCTACTAATATGATTACAATCCCTGACTGTGGATAACAACTCTCTACATCAGGGGTGGGCAAACTCCGACCCTCCAGCTGTGGTGAAACTACAAATCCTATCATGCATATGCCTCTGACTGTCAGAATTCTGCCATGCCTAATGGGGTTTGCAGTTCCACAGCAGCTGTACGGCCGGGGTTTGCTTACCCCTGGACTGATTGTCCTTCAGGAATGCCAGAGGAGTAATCCTAGCACAAGGCGTTCCTTAAAATGTGTTTTGTTTTTTTTTTTTATCTTAAAGTGGACTTCCTAACCCATGAGCACCAGGACAGGAAGTGCGGGGAAATGAGTTGCCATGTTGCATTTTATATCGAGTTCCTAATTGTATTCCTGCTACTAGGTATTACCCAGTATGGTTTTATATTTTGGGCTGTATGTTGCCCGCGTTGTAAGTATTCTGCTTTGGTTGCTATATTCTGCTTGTAAAGTTTTAAGTTAATGAATTCTATATATTGTATAGAGCGGTACCCGCCATCATGAGAACGTCTTGTGCCTTTTGTTTGTATATCTTTTGATTATGCTGCCATAGAACATTGACCAGGGTATCCCAGTGCTTCCAGTAAACCAAGCCTGCTGGGAAGTATGGGGCGCCCGGTACTCTTACTGAGGCATTTTACCTTTTTCCGGAGCTCCCTCCTATAGCGCTTGGGCCTGCAAACAGATGGCTTGGAGCTCCCTGGGGAGGTGAGCTGTCCGTTAAAGTACAATTTGTCACTCTGTATGGCTTCTGCTATTCCCCGGCGACCATATTGTGTGAACATTTATGTACCCGATGCAGTCTTTCAGTAGCACTAACGCTGCAATTTTACCCCGTGGCATAGTTTTATTTCCTGTTGATCCTAATTGGCCCATGGGTTGGCAATAGGGATGCACCGATACTGGTATCCGTGCCGATGGCGAGTATTTGGGCGAGTAATCGTACTCGCCCAAATGCTTGGATGCGTAGCCCGATGCTTCTGGTATCAGTTGCCCGGCTTCCTGATTGGTCGGAAGCTGGCCAATTAGGAAGTCAGGCGCTGTGTAATGATGCGGCGCCCCGGCTTTCTGATTGGTCAGGAAGCCGGGCGCCGCGTCATTACACAGAGCCCGGCTTCCTGATTGGCCTAGAAAGCCGGCTCCATGCTTTCTCATCACCTAGTGACGAGAAGCATGGGACGGCTTCCCAGTTATTCAGCGCAGTTTTGGGCGTTTTTAAATGCGCTGAAACGCAATTAAAAACAGCCCTTTTAAAAATCAACGTGGAACCCGCAGCTGCCCTGGTGTGAATGGGGCCTTAAGGCTATCTCCATGTTTTAGACCACGGGTGTAACATGAAGCATGGTTGCATACACCATCCCCCCTCCTTACCTGAATCACAGGGGGCTTCTTGCTGTAGCTTGTCATCCATTCATTGGATCCCTGCATGAAAATACTACAAGTTTCATCTGCCACCAGAGCCGTCCCGGCGATCCCTCACCCCCTAGTAGTCCAGCCGAGGGCCATACCTCCGTACAGACCTAAGGCTGGAGGTGAACATTGATCGAGCCGTGCGTATTGCACCCATGATGCACTGATTGCAGGTGCAATGCTCTGCAGGCTTCAATGCAAAAAAAAAAAAAGTAATCCATGCACATTGATGTAGAAGTCAGTGTTGCGGCTTTCACTGCTACCGACAGACTGCATCGCATGCCTTTGTTTTCTGTTACCGGTAGTTCCACTTTCACTTACAGCGTGCCGTGGCAGAGGTTTACTTTTGAAGAGCCAGCTATGTACTACAGCAGCACTGGGTATACTGGAACATTAAAGGAGAACTCCGGGCTGAAATTGTATTAACCTTTGCAAAGGGGACGCTCCTGAAGTGCAAGGGTTAAATGCTCGTTGTTGCCTAGGGTAAAAAAAAAAAAAGTTATACCGACTTGAGCCGGCAGGGCTTCCTCCAACCTCCACTGCAAGGATGGTTTGTCCCTCACGACCAATACACAGTATTGGATGTGATGACTCGAGGACTGCTAGACTGCTGCAGCGGAGGGGGAGAGACACTCAAGGGACCGGCCTAAGAGCTGGCTGGCTCGGAAACTCAGGTGAGCGTAACTTTTTTTGTTAACCTGGCCAAAAACCAGCAGTTAAACCTTGCAGTGCTGGGATAGCCCCCACGGCAGGGGTTAATAAAAAATCTGCCGGAGTTCCTCTTTAAGTTCACACAGTTATAAGTACATGTTATATGACATCAATGGCTCTATGTTTTAGCTTATATTGCTCAAAAAACAATCAAAGCGAAATAGCGACCATTCTCAGCCTTAAGTGAGAGCTGGAAGGACACAAATGTATATACATTATTATTATAAGTGGACCTGTGCTTTGCCTGTGACGGTAATTGCCCTGCTGGCCTTCTGTTTGGTTGCTGGGAAGTCCCCTTGGCCTGGACATCGGCTGCTCGGCCTCTCGGCACTGCATTGTGGGAATAAGGAGAGAGTCATATGCATGCTGTACCCTGACGTACAGGGCACTCTAGTTGCCTCCAGCAGGTGTACAGGGCATCGGGGCAAACAAGTAGACAAGTGTAAGAGCAATGAGGGCGAGCTGTTAAGCAAAGCACAGGTTCTCTTTAACCTATAGAACTGATAGCTTATGTTTTCCGTGATTATTAAAGCAGAACTGTTGTGTTACAAATCTGGCAATGGAAGGGAATAAATGTCACTCTCTGGTGCCATGTAGTACCTCTCATGTTCCCGGCCACCTCTCCACTGCACCGAGCTAGTCCAAATAAACTCAAACTTCTAAGGCCTTACCCCCACCTCAACTTCTAGAATGGTCCTTACCCCCACCTCAACTTCAACGTAAGTCCTTACCCCCACCTCAACTCCAACATAAGCCCTTACCCCCACCTCAACTTCCACATAAGGCCTTACCCCCACTACGTAAGTCCTTATCCCCACCTCAACTTCAACGTAAGTCCTTATCCCCACCTCAACTTCAACGTAAGTCCTTACCCCCACCTCAACTTCCACATTAGGCCTTACCCCCACCTCAACTTCCACATATGGCCTTACCTCAACTTCAACGTAAGCCCTTACCCCCACCTCAACTTCAACGTAAGCCCTTACCCCCACCTCAACTTCAACGTAAGCCCTTACCCCCACCTCAACTCCAACGTAAGCCCTTACCCCCACCTCAACTTCCACATATGGCCTTACCTCAACTTCAACGTAAGCCCTTACCCCCACCTCAACTTCAACGTAAGTCCTTATCCCCACCTCAACTTCAACGTAAGTCCTTATCCCCACCTCAACTTCAACGTAAGTCCTTACCCCCACCTCAACTTCCACATTAGGCCTTACCCCCACCTCAACTTCCACATATGGCCTTACCTCAACTTCAACGTAAGCCCTTACCCCCACCTCAACTTCAACGTAAGCCCTTACCCCCACCTCAACTTCAACGTAAGCCCTTACCCCCACCTCAACTCCAACGTAAGCCCTTACCCCCACCTCAACTTCCACATATGGCCTTACCTCAACTTCAACGTAAGCCCTTACCCCCACCTCAACTTCAACGTAAGTCCTTATCCCCACCTCAACTTCAACGTAAGTCCTTACCCCCACCTCAACTTCTAGAATGGTCCTTACCTCCACCCCAACTTCTACACAAGACCTTTACCTCCACCTCAAGTTCCACATAAGGCTTTACCCCCCCACCTCAACCTCTACATAAGCCCTTAGCCCCACCTCAACTTCTACATAAGGCCTTACCCCCACCTCAACTTCCACATGAGGCCTTACCCCCACCTCAACTTCCACATGAGGCCTTACCCCCACCTCAACTTCCACATAAGGCCTTACTTCCACCTCAACTTCCACATAAGACCTTACCCCACCTCAACTTCCACATAAGGCCTTAC